CATTTAGAGGCCACAAGCGACCTAAGTACTCAATCGTTTTTAGCAGCATTTTCCAGATTCGTTTCCAGACGAGGGTGTCCAAAAAATGTGTACTCAGATAATGGGACAAATTTCGTAGGAGCATCACGGGCTTTAAAAGCGGAACTAAAGGCATTTCTATCCGACGCGCGGACGAATACGTTATGCCCATCAGGCATTGACTTGGCATTTCATACCTGCCGCAGCTCCGCACATGGGTGGTCTGTGGGAGGCAGGTGCCTTACCGAACTACAGAAACGAATAAAGTGGAAACATCCTAAATCCAACATAAAAGTGGGAGACATGGTGGTCATAAGAGAGGATAATCTTCCACCTAACGAATGGAGATTAGGAAGGGTGGCTAATTTGCACCCAGGTTCTGACAATCGAGTTCGTGTTGTAGAGGTCATAACTGAAAAGGGTAGAGTGACAAGACCGCTTGTCAAACTAGTACTACTACCACCCTATATCACGGATAACGATGAAACTATGGCGTCTGTATAAATCCATACGAAAAAAAAACCCTTCCACCTACCACAAGCAAAACTCGAATAAAAACCAATGGCTCTCAAAATGGAATCCGCGTGTCAAACTCCCACAACTTTCCATATTGAATTGAAATTCAAAAATAAATTTGCATACTTAATGAAATTGAACCATTAAGACGATAGTTACATTTTAGACACACACTGTTCAATAAATTTGGTAGAAATTGCTAGGAATTTTTTCATGTCGTTAACGTTTTCGTATGCGAAAACAACTTGCCAATGAGAAGAATCGCTATTTGTACATACTGCTATTTCAAAGACGTAAACAACATGAAATTAGAACCAATTCTAGCTATCCCGAATGAGAAGTAACGTTCTTAATGTTTAAATTTCATTAATTTTTTCCATCTACATATGTAAATTTATTTAACAAAATCACATTACACCAGTCACCATGGAACGGCCCGCGAGCAGAGTAGGCTGGTTTACATTAATAATACAATAGGAGAACAAAGAAACATTTTAATTGTAAAGCACTTACCCCGTTTTCCTTTCGTCTCGGCCGATATTTTTTCTTTGGTCGTATGGTGGCTGGTTCTGCTTCAAAGAATTCACCTTCCACTGGGCATTGTGGATAGCGTATATTGCCGGCCATCCTGGCTGCATCTGCAACACCATTCCTTCGATGCGTTAATCCATGCCCTGTGCTGCACATTCTTTTATAAACAAAAAAAAAAACAGCTTTAAGCAGATCCCCGTAGTAATTTCAAACGCATTCACCCGTCATACATATACACGTATTAAATTTCTTTCGATATTTCCAGCTCAACGTATTTGCCGGCGAACGCAAGTTATTTTATTTCATTTTAAATTACACACATTAGTAATCTGTAACCCAGTACAGTAGCGCAGCAGCAATAACACAATGATACCAACACACTGTGTCAACACACAAGCATACGCGCCATTGACCATCCCTAAGGCAAAAGTATGGAATGTGCCAAAATTGTGCCGTTCATGCGTTGAGCTGCTATTCATACATACATATGTATGTATGTATGTACATATATACATACATGTACTGAAACTACAACTCTAAGGCAAAAGTATGGAATGTGCAAAAAATGTGCCGTTCAGGCGTTGAGCTGCATTTCATACATCCATAAGTATATATGTATGTACATATATGCATACATGTACTGAAACTACGACGATCTAAAGGGGTTGTCAGACGTTGTAGTGCAATATTTTTTCGGATAAGCTGTCACAGTGGGAAATTTTGTAGTGTCTGCTGAAAGTAGATTTATTTCCAAAACGTTTTTTGACAATTATTCCAAATTATCTTTTATTATTTCTCACAATTTGAAATCAGTATCATTCGGCAACACTCGGTTAATTTGACAAAACTTGCAGCAGAAGTGAAAATTGCTAGGGAAACACGAGCAAGTTGAAATATACTTTTCGAAATCGATTTGCACTCTTTTCAGTCACACTTCGCAATGTTTATTTCTTCGCAGGTAGAAATAAATTTTATCCTTCCCGTCTGACACACCCTTAACGCGAACAACTAGTACAACATGTACATATGTATGTACATACCCAGCAGGAACGTCCTAACGCATTCTCCAATTCCCTTACAAAATTTTCAATAATAACCAACACATTCCATATGCCATTTTTGGCGTTATATAACACGTTACTAATCGCGTAATAATATTTGAATGGAAAGAAACAACAACATATAGGATACTATAATAGCGGATTCCATGCAAAAGTAAGAGAAAACTGCTCACACGTGACACGATTATGCGTTATATTTCTCCGCGAGCCCTATGTAAAACGATGGAAATTTGTTTTAAATGCTCACACAAACTGTTTGCAGTACTATCTACGCGTATATAACGCATTAGCTAGCAGATAGGGTTCCTACTGGTATGCTTGTACAAAAGCCACAGAACTGTAGGTGAATTAAATAGTGCACCGGTACTTCGGTGCATATGTACGGTTTTCAATAATACATGTTTTTTTTATCACGCACGTTTTTTTTTGGGTTCGAAATAACTTTAATTTACGTATTTTCTTTGTACGCATGTATTTCGTAAAATTCACTTATTTTGAGTTCCACATTAATTTTGTTTGTATACATTCACACTACTTACATATATTCATTCACCTGGAGTTAGCCTTTTATTTCCCCATTTCTTCTTTCACAACACCAACGCCGTTTTTTTTTTACGTTCATTTATGTTTTTTCGGGAAAATTTTCCAAAACGGATCCAGGCTTTGAAAAAAAAAATATTAGGGAGTATAGAGGAGCTTTTTCAGATTCTAAATCTGAAGACCCCACCCTCCGGAGGCTTATAGTTTTAAAGTAATTCGCATTTAAAGTTGCAAAAAATACCGAATTTAACCTCACTTTTTGCTTTGTACACTAATTGAAGTGAAATGCCAGTGCTGCCATACATATGAAAAAATGCCTCAAAAACACAAAACGGAAGCAATAAAAAAATGCAGATAATGATCGCGCGATATTTAATAAAAAAATTGTATTATTTATTGGTCGATTTTTGATTAAATGTGGCATAATTTATCGAAGTATCGATTTTATAATAAAAAGCGATGTTTTATTAAAAATGTTCATTATTCATCGAAGTATCGATTTTTAGAATATAAAGCGCCGCAGGCGAAAATTATTGAATTATTTATGGAAGTATCGATTTTTAGAATATAAAGCGCCGCAGGCGAAAATTTGTAATAAAAAATCGCGCGATTTTGAATTAAAAATTTTCATTATTTATGGAAGTATCGATTTTTAGAATATAAAGCGCCGCAGGCGAAAATTTTTATTAAAAAATCGCGCGATTTTTAATTAAAAATTTTCATTATTTATGCAAGTATCGATTTTTAGAATATAAAGCGCCACAGGCGAAAATTTTTAATAAAAAATCGCGCGATTTTTAATTAAAAATTTTCATTATTTATGGAAGTATCGATTTTTAGAATATAAAGCGCCGCAGGCGAAAATTTTTAATAAAAAATCGCGCGATTTTTTATTAAAAATTTTCGATATATATGGAACTATATTAAAATATGGTTACTGGGTGTTTTATATAAAATCGCGCGATTTTATATAAAAAAATTTCATAATTTATGAAAGTATATTAAAAAAAAGAAATAAAAAAGGAAATAATACGGTTTGTAAGTGTATTTAATAGTAAAAGACGCGAAAAAATGCAGTGCTAGCTACTGCATGCGAAAAAATAAGGAGAATAAAAGAAATACCGTTGGAATACGGTTGTCATAAAAATATGACGATTTTACGCACAACTCCTTTTTGTGTTGGCCGCGTTTTAATAAAATCCTTTAATAGTGGCGTATTTACTTTTAAAACGTATGGCAGCACATATTTGCTCTTACTGTCGGCCATTGTTATTTCTGTTTGTTTGTGAAAAGTGGTAAAACGTGAACACAAATTTATAAACGCGTTTTACTTAATTAATTGGTGAATTATATATAATAAAAGCATAAAATACGCATGTGAGCATTGAAAATATAATATGTAACACAAAATATAAGTGATAAGTGGCATATTTTAAAAAAATTAGGGGGTGATAGTGGACATTATTTAACAACAAATTGCTAAAATACTATTAGGAATTATATTGTGAGAGTGAACAATTCATGTTGAGGAGGCCTCCCCCAACATCCTCACCAAGTTTCATGACGAAATTCCTTATACTTTCGCTGAAATTTCGATTGGTTCCGTTTTGGAAAGCCCACCCGATTTTTCCGATTCACAAACACAAATACTTCACCGGCACCGCACAACCGCACTTGTAGTAAACACAAATATATATAACCTTGTTTGTGAATGACAGGCGGCCATTCACGGAAGTAGGTTCTACTATCGATAACATAAGAAATAAGTTCGATACTTTACAGAGTTACCTTGAGAAGTATTTATACTCGGGCCGCACTTGCAAGTTTCTGTACCCAGTCTGCGTAAAATTTTGCGCAAATTAGCTTGCATTGCATTAGTTGGCATTGATGTGATTGCAGTAAATGAAATTATGTGTGCTTTTTTTCATATAGAGGGGGTGGGTAGTAATAAATAACACATAATTATTTATTACTATCTATTTTTCAATTGCATAAGTTTTTCATTGATGCAATTTAATGCGAGCATAGAGACTGACGAAAAAAAAATGATAATTGCTACATAATAATTTGTTTCCACCACACTTTTCGTGCAATCTTCAGGTCAGGTAATAAACCCACATACCTCTTGCAACCCTGTTGTACCAACCCATCAACCATAAAGGCATGTATGCACGGTCAAACCACCTGTCAATCATTAAGGGGTCATAACACTGCACTTTTAGTCAGTTAGCGAAATTACGGAAAAAACCTTATATGCTCCATCTCGTTTCAATATTGCGCGCCATTCCAAAATCGATCATTTTTGTCGGTGCGCTACATACAAGATTATTTCAGAAGATGACTCGCTTCACTAATGTACGCAAACAAGCTGAGGCAAATAATTACCCGCTGACGTGCAGATTATGCAGCAACAAGCATCCCTTAAGAGTATGCCCAATATTTCGTGCCAAAAGACCAGAAGAACGCCTGCGTGACGTTCTGATCCATCCCTATTGCACGAATTGTTTATCGGGGATACATCGTGCAGCACACTGCACTAACCCAGGGAGATGTCGACGCTGTAACGAAGAACACCACACCATGCTCCATATTGAGAACGTGAGCGATGGATCAAGACGTCAGCGACGATCAAGGAGGCCAATAATCAACAATGACAGTGATGATGCGCTTTCACTAGATGCGTCTGAGGTCGGAGCGGAATCGAATGCTTTCCGCCCAGACCTGGAGGAGGAAGAAATGCCAGTCGCTGGAGCGGAAACTAATGCTTTCCGCCCAGATCTAGAGGAGGGGTATATGCCAGAAACTGGAGCGGAAACTAGCGCTTTCCGCCCAAAAGAATCAACCGGAATGGAGTCAAACGCACTCCATCTGGACTCGGCTAGTGAAGTGGAGCTGGAACCCCAGCGCTACCGGCAGCTCTTGAGATATGAGCAAAGAGAGCTAAGCGGAATGGAAATGAAAACTTTCCAACCGCGAAACGAATGGCATCGTCTTCAAACTCGACGACTGAACAAACGACCGCGTCATCGGCGACAGCATGGAAGAGTGGAATCACAAGCGTTCCACCTTCCGCGTAGAACCGGTTTCCGGTCAGGTATGGTCCAGGACCTCCGAGCCTCGGTACATCCGATTCAAGCCCTCACATCGATCGCGCCGACAGCTGTGATCAAGATAGAAGCAGCGGGCCTCCTACATTTGGTTCTAGCCGTAATTGATGCGTGCGCTTCAAGGTCCATAATCGCCGAAGATTTGGCGAGGGAACTAAATCTTGGGATAACTGCAATAAATTCCCAAAGGGGCTACTTCATTAAGTTGAGAGGAAAGCATGGACAGTCAGCCACCGTTATGACGCACGCAATTTCCATCAAAAATTATCGGAAGCGGACACCAAATACTAGTTTGGACGCTACCGTAGCCGCCGCTTATTCGAACCTGAAGCTCGCGGACCCGCGCTTCCACATCACAGCTCCAGTCCGCTTAGTATTAGGCGCCGAAGTCTTCCCCAAAATCCTACTCGGCGCAATTCCTGCGGGTACTCTCGGCCCGCTATTAGCACAGAACACCATCTTTGGATGGGTCCTGTCCGGCGCTTGTTGAACTTTTTTTTTTCTTCGCATACTTTTACCAAAAATGAATTAAATACACACTGAATTGTTTTACTTATTTTATTGAATAAATGTGCAGTTGAATTTTTGAAACCCACGTCTTTAAATAATACTTTCTTCTACCTTACAGAGTTTAGGTACATGCACAACGGCAACGAAGAACATTTACATTATTAGATAATTTTTTAAAATTAAGGAGTTAATTGGAACATAGTGGCCGGAACACGTGGAATTCAGATTTTTCGCTTCGCAAAGGGGGCCGGCATGTTTAGGCCAACGGCCTAAATTTGTCGCAGCATTTTCGACCCACCCTAATGCTTAACATAGCTTCATTATTATGTCAACTGTCGAACTGTTTACCACTATGTTACTTATGCTAAAATGTCCCTTCGGTAAATATACAGTTCGACAGGCAACAGTAAGAAGAAATTTAAACCGGTCACTTACTTGTTTTCCGAGAGTGAAGTCAAGAGGACGTATTCCAGCCACCGTGTTCCCGTATCAATAAAAGGTAACCTGTACAACCAACATATATGCATATATATTAATACCAATTTATCTATTTTTGAATAAACACCAATTTATATTAAATATTAATACAAACGTTTTGCTTTGTTTTTCATTCCAATAAGTTAAATCGGCCACAACTTTGTCCAAGCGTTGTGCCGGTTTAACAATATTCATAAAGATTTTTATTTTAAATCTTTTGTGTTAATTTTTTATAGAAAATGTCGTTCGTTCTGTAAGAAAAACGTAATGAATTCTAAGTATAAGTCTAGTCGAAAATTCTCTGTGCCAATTTTTTCCACGTCAGAAAAGTGACTCAGTAATAATAAACTAGTTTTTTACAATTTTCATAAAGATGTTTGTATTAAATCTTTTGTATTAATTTTTTATAAAAAATATCGTTCGTTCTGTAAGAAAAACGTAATGAATTCTAGGTATAAGTCTAGAATACCAACCGTTTAGCTGTGTAAAAACTAAAATCTATGTACATATATTTCATTCGTTTGTGTTGCGGCGGATATATAATATTTGTTTGTTTTTACTTGCGCCAAATAATTTTCGCATGATTGAAATCAGCCTAAAAAGTTCTATCGCCCTGCATTTTTATTTTTTCCATAGCTAAACGGTTGGTATTCTAGAAATGTTTATGACCATTTCTGAGATTTGTTTACACAAAAAATGTAAAAATTCAAAATATATAACTGTAAATACTACCTTTAACTATATGTATTTATAATAATAAATAAATAAATTATATGTATTTACTTCTATATAAATTTTCATTTTTCATTGCATCATTTTAATTTTTTATTGCATCATTTTCAATTTTTCCATTTCAATTCTTGCTTTCATTTCCAATTCTTTCAAAGCGATTTTCTCCTTCATTTGAATTCCCATTACTTTTATTTCCCCCTCAGCTTTTTTTTTCTATCAACTCCTTTTCAAAATTTTCCTTAGCAAACAAAAATTGATGCTCCTTTAACGACAATTCATTTTCCTTCATCATAAATTCCTTCTGAACTCTCTCTTTTTTTGTATCTAGAATATATTCCCTTTCGAATAGTCTTTGACGTACAAGACGTGCCGGGAGGCTCGGGTGATGGCACGATTTCCTCAATGATTACATCAGAGGGCCCGATTTCTTCAATGATTACATCAGGGGAAGTGGCATTTTCTGGGGAAGCAGTATAAGTCAGGCCTTCCCAAAGTGGGTGACGCGGCCAGAAAATCAAAAAATTTTGATTTTTATTAAAATTACCTTCAGCGGCTTGTTTAACCCCATACACAACACAAATAGCTTGCAGCAAAGGGATATTTCGCTCTTAAGCGTAGTTCCCGTACGTTTTGTCAACGTAAAATTGAATCAAAAACGTACCCTTTTCACAACCACTTTCGGTACTTTTGTAGACCTAATCCGCGTTTCATCCACTTTTCTTCCCGTTTTCGGATTAATTTACGGATTTTTCGCTGGCTGAGCTGTTCTCGTAACAAGCGCAGCAGTTTCGCGCACGCGTATATATTCACCCCTATTCTGGTTGTCGTAAGTCGTTCACATCGACAGTCGTTCGTTGAATTATGTCATAAATAAAAACATAAACGGCAGATTTTAACACGTTTTCAATACTTCTTCATTTCGAAGAGATAATAGGAATAAAAATTTGTAGTGGATTATGTCACTGGTTGCCTCATAACGCCAATGAAAATCTGAAATTTCGACGAACGACTGTCGTTTCGACAATGGGAATAGGGCCGATTACTTATTCTTTGGAACTTCACAATCACATTGTCAAAGAGCGAATCAACAGGATTTTAGAGGCAGGCTTCTCGTGTTAGTGAGGTACCCATTCGCAATGCAAATCGAAGAAGAACGAAGTACTTCAGACTTACGCCACTAGCGACGAAATTTTTAAAGCTATCGAAAAATTTGTCCAGAACAATGGTTTGAAATGGAGCAAGTGTGCGGATATTTGCGGTGGTTGGAAAAACGAAATGAGCGATGTCTAGGATGAAGCAAGAGGCAGAAAACGCCGCGAGAAGTCACTGTATGATCCATCGGTATTCCCGGGCGACTAGGAAGATGCCGCCACTAGATTTAAATCCCGTATTGGATGACGCTGCGAAGATAATAGAGGCCTGCGAAATTAAAATACATCTCTGGTTTTTTCTAGCACGTCCAGATTTTTTTATTGGTGACATGTACATTTTAGAATTTCTAGCAATTCGCATGAAACCCCCATAAATAAACAAAGTAATCAGAAAAACGTATGTAACTTCGAAGTTAACGCTAAGAAAATTGATAACTTGGCTGTAAAAATTATTTTCTTAGCCTTATTTTCTTCGCTGGTTATCGAAGATCGAACATCGAAAGTGAAATTATGAGCTACGCAACCGTGTCGAAATTTTCGTTGAGTATCGAATTTTCTGTCGAACAGAATTTTGCTTTCGATGGTGTAGCGAAGTGTTAGAAAATTGTGAAAAATTTATGATTTGCATTTGTTTTTTTTTTACTTTATGGCGGCTAGACACTAGTTTTAAACAATTTTTATTAATTCGAAAGACTACACTTAAACCCTCTTAAACATTTTCTACTCCTGGCCAGTTTACCAAGCTCTCATCCTCTGACGAAACGTTGAACCAGAACTCCGTTGTACTCATTTTCACCACGGTTTAAAAAGCTCGCTTTCTTTTTTTTACAACGCTTTTATCAACTTGCAATGTTGTATGTCCAAACCACCATACTATAAATATAGCAAAGGTATTTATGGCAAACCTCGTCGTAGGTATCATATCAAAGACATACAATTCGAAAAACTCTAGAGATAGATGTCGCCTCACCAGAAGAAGTTAAAAATATGCACTACATACGCTACAGCGGAAATGGACGACACGCCATTTCTTTAAATGAAATTAATTGTTGATATATGTATGTATGTACCAGGGTTGTTGCGAATATTCGCATTCGCATTCGCAACCGCGGAGCTTCCGCCTTAATTTTAACATTCGCATTCGCTTTCGCATTCGCTTTCGCATTCGCTTTCGCATTCGCAATAATCAATGCGGATCTTTTGCGAATGCGAATATTGAAGGGACCGTAAGTAACACTTATTTTCTTTACGAGTTAAACTTGGCCAAATATTTTTTATTCCCAACTAAAAGTCCTTTCCGGACAATAAAAAATCCGCTTATCCAAATTAAACAAGTTAAAACTGAAATGTTAATAAAAAATTATAATTAATTACCATAGAACAAACCTTGGGTCAGGTATATGAATTTCTTTAGTATTAAATTTAGGTATATGAATTTCTTTAGTAGTAAAATAAAAAATATATATATAAATAGAGGTGGCAACCTTCGTTCGTTATTTCTGTTTAAAAGCTATTTCAGTCCTCTTTCACATGATTCCAAATTTGTTTAATTTTGATAAGCTGTTTGTTTATTATCCCGAAAAAACTTTCGGAATAAAAAATATTAGGCCAAGTTTAACTGGTAAAAAAAATAACTGTTATTTTCTGTCCCTGGAATATTATGCAAGTGCAATGATAAAACGTATATCTGACCAGTCACAGAAGAAAGGATCAATAATGAATTACAAAAACTAAAATCGAAAAACTCTGTTGATGTACCTGGTTCTCCAAATTCAGAAACAATCAAAAGAATGAGAATGAAGAATTCTTTGGAAAACAACGGTGTTTAATCAAAGATCTTGCCCTGATACTAGATTGTGAAGATGAAAGTCAGGAGGATTCATACGACATTTTCAGACCGATACAATTCCAAAAAAGAATTATTGCACCGCAATAAAAAAAAAAATAATAGATATAACTGAAAGTCCTCTCTACTGGTGCGGCGTCAATCGAAAAGAATTTACAATTTGTCAAGGTTCAAGTTTTTCAAGTTTTTCGCAGCGAGCGATTATTTAGTGGCGCAGGTTTGATTTACGACCCTTTAAAAACTTTTATTGAATACAATGTTCCAATTTTTAAATTCAAGTACTAAAAAAAAAATATTAAAAAGTACTAACCTTTCGATTTTTTATTTAATCAAATCACCTAATTTACTCACCTAAATTATTTCCTAACAAGTAAAAAAGTCCAAGTTCGGGCGGAGCCGTATTCAATATAGTTGTTTCACCTTTCCGAAAACTATCGCTTCATGGTAAGCAGTGGTGGTTTTACGTCTATTTCAAACATCTGCGTTATAAAAAGGTGGTTGTAATTTTAGTCAGATTTCAATAAGTTTCAACGTTTTGCCTTTATGGGGCAACCACTATAATCATACCGAGTTTGGTACACATTGATCGAACGGTTACCGAGATACACATATGTGGTTTTAAGTAGGCGGGGTCACGCCCATTTTCCAACAATTTATTATAAGCGTACATTTTGCTAAAGAATTATCGCAAGCATCAATTTTGATTAAATTAGCTTCAGTATTTACTGATTTATCGAAGCTTTCATATTTCTCTAAATTACCGTTATGTGGGATGTGGGCGTGATTATTATCCGATTTTTTTAATTTTCAGCCGTTTGGAATGTTTTGTGAAGGCCAACACTGTGCCAAGTTTGGGAGAAATTGGTGGAGCGGCTCCCAAGATATACACATGTAATCATAAGTGGGCGTGCTTACGCCGATTTTCCAAAAATTTATAATATTCTTATTTTTCGTTTAAAAATGATTGTACATATCAATTTTGATTGAGTAAGCTTCAGTAGTTACTAAAATGTCGCAGTTTTCCTATTTCTGAAAATTACCGTTATATGGGAGGGAGGCGTGGTTATCGTCCTATTTTGCCCATTTTCAACACCATCCGTCCTACGCTCAAAATAAGTACACATATCAAGTTTCGTTAAGATATCTCAATTTGTACTCGACTTATCGTGTGCACATACGTTTACTCTTTTCATTCTGATCATTTATACATATATACATTTGTCTATATCTATCTCGATTCGTTTTGCCTGTTACAAACAGCCGTTATGTGAACAAAGTACAAGTGCAAAGTACAAGTGCGCTCGGGTATAAAAATACTTGACATCCGCATTCGCATCCGCGGATGTCTAAAATTCCACATTCGCAACATCCCTGGTATGTACATATGTAGGCATATACTAAATGTGAGCAAACAACATTTTGCTTGCATAGTCTTCTGTTCTCTTTTCACTGCAAGTTGAATTATTTTAGTATCTATTGCAAAATTTTATACACACAAGACTCAAAAGTATAAAATAAATAAAAAAAAACTTTTTAATGTACCACGCTTTTATAAATGGACTAAAATTAGAAAATAATATTTCTCAGTCCCATAGAACTTGTTTTGATAACTTTCGATTTCAAATTTTAGCAAAAGTCATTGTAAACAATTTGTGAGATTGAAAATGAAAAGCGTGGGGCGGATGTAATAGGCGTGATTTGAAATTGAAGAGTAATATATGTATGTATGTGGGTATATTAATAACGACCGCTTAAAATCGATCTCAAATTTGTACTTTCGCTGTAGAAATTTTAGGTCTATGTTATGTATGTAGTTTGAATATTTTCAATTAAATCTAATGCTTTGTATTGCATGCGCTCCACGTTCTTCGTTTTCAATCTCATAAATTGTTTGACTTTTGCTAAAATTTCAAAATCAAAAGTTATCAAAACAAATTCTATGGGACTGAGATATATTAGTTGCGTTCCCCAACTTTTCTGGGTTAAA